GCCAATGCCATGGAGCTGGTGCAGCGGGATCTGCTGGCAGTCGTAATTAGCCTGCGCGTGCGGCAGCCAACGTCGGCGCAACGTTCGCAGCTAGACGCAGCGCTCGCTTATCTGTGGCACAATGAATCCAAGGCGGACTACTTTCGTCATGTGCTGCTGCTCAAGGCGACTCCTCAGCTGTGCGCTGTCCTGGCCAAGGAGCTGCATCAGCAGCTCTTGAGCAAATTGGGCGCAGCGCACGGCTTTGCCAGCCTGTTGGCCGCTCTGCAGACGCCGAACGCCACACGCAATGCGGAAATCGTGGCCAACATCGTGGCGCAGCGCGGCTACTCCTTGGGTCTGCAGCAGCGACTCCTCGCCCAAATCCTGGACTTTTGCCGCCTGCAGGTGGCGCATGCGAACAGCCTGTTGGCGGGCGTGCTCAGCCTGCGGCGTCTCTGCGAGCTGAATGCGGCGAATCGCGAATGCTTGGAGCAACTGCTCGGACAGGATTGGCAGCCGCTGACCTCGCCGGCGGATTTACTAAACGGCCTCATAGTCTGGGATCAGGCGCAGCTGTGCGATTGCCTGCGCCTCTGGCAGCAGCTCTTCTGCAGCTCCAGCGTCGCCTGCCTGCCCAGCGTGCTGCTGGCTCCCTACATGCCGCTGCTCCTGCAGCTGTATAAGCAGCTGCCGCAAACGCTGCCGGAGCGGAAGGCCTTGGCCGCGCTAATCTCGCGGTGTCTGGACAACCGAGAGTTGAGGGAGGAGCTGCCTGCGCTGCTGCAGCGTCTCTTCAGCTGGGATATCGCCGGCCCGCCGCCTTGGCTAGCGCTGCATCCACGTCTGGTCGTCAAGCATGCTGCGGACCTGGATCTGATTACAGTGCAGGTGGCGCAGGAACAGGCGGAGCACAACTATTGCCGCGTGCTGCCCGCTTTACTGATGGCCGGCAGCGATCAGGCGCTCACGACCAAAGTCTTTCTGGCCCTGCTCGGGCTGATGGTGCAGCAGCTGGCGGCGCCAGAGCCAACCAGCATTGAGCTGCTGTCCACGGAAACGGAGCTGGCGCAATTCTTGCAGCTGAAATATCAGCTCAAGCTGGAGCTGCTCGTGGCCCTGGAGCAGCTGGTCTGGCACGAGCCGCTGAAGACGCAGCTAGCGGCAACGCAGAGCAAACCGTTTATGGAGCTCGTCCTGCTGCTGTTGGACATCAAAGTGCAGCCGGCGCAGCTGGCGGAACAGATGCAGCTGCTCGTATTGCTGCTGCTGCAGGAGCTGTTCGAGCGCAGCGAGCAGCTGCAGCTGGCGGATTGCACGCGCCGCCTGCAGCAACCACTGGAGCAGTTGGCCAAGCACACATCGAATCCATTGCTAAAGAATGCGCTGCTGCCGCTGCTGGAGCTGCTCGGCGGCGATCGACAGCCCAGCCGTGCTCCGACTCTCACAAGCTTTCAGCGAGCGCGCGAGCTCATCGAGGATCAGCAGCCACATCTCCAGGTCTATGGCATCCAACTGATGCTGGAGGCTTTGCGGCGCAAGGATCCCGCCTTCATGTCGCAATCACATCGCATCATTGCGCTCGCCTTGAGCACGCTCAAGCACAAGGAGTCCTACACATTCCTCAATTGTGTGCGCCTGTTTGTGGAGCTGGTGCACATCATGGAGTCCCAGGTGCTGGAGATGCTCAGCGATGAATATTTGTCGGAGACAGCCGACCTGGACTATCGTCTGGTCGTAGGTGAAGCTATCCTAAAGGCAGCTCAGGAAGTGGGTGAGTAGCAGAGGATCTCCTAATCGAGCAACCCCAATTGGAGCATATGCTAATGCCTTCCCTTCGCTTCATACAACAGGTCCGCTTTGCTATCGCTACAAGGCCGTGTTGTTCAATTGCTTTCTGCACGGCGCTCGCTCGGACTTGGATGAGTTTCGCAGTTCCGCCTATGCGAATCTGGCGCAGCTCTGCCGCCTGCTCGCCCACCAGGTGCACAGCTTCTTCCAGGAGCTGCTGCACTTGATCGACGCCGAGCTCAGCAGCGGTCGCTATTTGCCCGCCAAGCGTGGCGCCTTGTTGGTGCTCGCCGAGCTATTGGCCGGCATGGAGAGTCTGCTGGACTACCAGGACATGCTCCAGCCCATCTATAGGCTCCTCCGAGCCATCGAAGCCAACGAAAGCTGCGATCCTCAAATGCGACAACATGCCGCCAACGGATTGAAAATAATCAATGAGAAATGTCGCGAGCTGCTGAAAACCGAATCTCCAGTGAACCAGCTGCAAAGGGAGATCAAGGTGCTGGGCATTAAGAAACCTCCTCCGGCGAGCGGGAAGCGGCACATTCTGAAGCTGAATTGAGCTTCATTAGAACTAAAAAATCCCTAGCAGTAAGAACTCTTTCCTGCGAGTGAAAGGAAAAATAGAAAAGTTTATCGAAAAGTGGAAACAATTTATGCTTAAAAGATTAAGAGAACTGCACAACAAAAGAACGGATTTCACTTGGGTTTCTATTTGGCCTTGCCAATGGAGAACTCCGTCTCGATCTTGTCCGCGATCATCTTGGCAATGGCCAAGCTGCTCGTCGCGCCCGGCGACGGTGCATTGCGGCAATGGAGCACACGTTTGGCCAGCGGTCCGGAGCCCTCGCCGCGATCAAAGACAAAGTCGTCGACGAGATTACCCTGCAGATCCAGCGCCTGGGCGCGCACACCCGCCGGCCCGCGCTCAATATCATATTCGTTTATCTCGGGGATATACTTCTGCAGCGCCTTCACCTGCAGATTGATGAACGCCGACTTGGCCATCTCGCTGAAGCCGAAGCCAATGTACTTGCTGGCCATCTTCAGGAAGCCCGGATAGCGCAGCGCGTCGAAGAGCTCGAACAGATTGATGTCGCCCCAGCTGCAAATGGCAAAGGAGAGTCTCTTTTAATGGGAATGGGGAGCTGCCCAGGTCTTACTCACGTGTAGCCCTCGCGCTTGAGCGCCAGCACCGCGTTAGGTCCCAGCCAGATGCTGCCGTCCATGCGCGGCGTAAAGTGCACGCCGAGGAAGGGAAAGCGCGGATCTGGCACCGGATAGATATTGCCCCGCACCATATGCTGTTTTTCCTTTGAGAGCAGCAGATACTCGCCGCGGAAGGGCACAATGCGCGGCGAGCGCGGACAGCCGGTCAGCTCGGCCAGCAGATCCGACTGGAGGCCGCCGCAGGTGAGCACATTCCGGGTGCTCACCGTCTGGCCGGGCTTGGCGCCGTGTATGGTCACCGGATAGTCGTTGTCCTCCTTCGTCTCGCTGAACTTGCTGACCTTGAAGTCCAGATAGATATCGCCGCCGGCGCACTTGAAATCCTCGCCGTAGTGCTGCGTGACCAGGCCCCAGTCCACGATGCCCGTGTGCGGGCTGTGCAGCGCCTTGACGCCCCGGCAATAGGGTTCGATCTCCTTGATCTGATCCCCGTCAATCATGCGCAGATCGGGCACATTGTTCTTGATGCCGCGCTGATGCAGATCCTCCAGCAGCTTCACCTCCTTGGCATCCGTGGCCACGATCAGCTTACCGCACTTCTTGTACGGAATCTGATGCTCGTCGAGGTACTTGTACGCCAGATGCAGTCCCTCCACGCAGAGGCGGGCCTTCAGTGTGCCCGGCTTGTAGTAGATGCCCGCATGGATGACGCCCGAGTTGTGGCCGCTCTGGTGCATCGCCAGCTTGGGCTCCTTCTCCAAAATGGCCACCTTCAGCGTGGGATGGCGCAGCAGGATCTCACGTGCCGAGGCCGCGCCCACAATGCCACCGCCCACCACAACAAGATCATATTGTCTGCGGGGGGAGGGTAGAGAGGAAAATCAATAATTAGTTGATCTCAGTTTATTAATTCCCAACGATCTGGATCGTATTTCTATATAATCGATCGTATTTTAATATAAGCTATATAATCTTCCCCAACGGATCCCTATATAATACAGCTTCCAAAAGGAACAATATGTCAAAAATAAAGTTAATTTATAAAACAAGATATCTTTACGTATCTCTAAAAATCTTATTGGACCAATATATTATATAATTCCAAATGGAACGATCGGCCGAAAAATATATAGAATTAAGAGCGTCTGTATGTATAGTTCGAAAATAAAAAAACGTTCAAAAATTAATTTAATTTAATTAATTAAAAACTTTAACAAACTATTCAATTCCCAGTTTCAAAGAGTTGGTAAAAATCGAATTAATTATTATATAGATCCCATGGGAATTATTGATGGAAAAGTTTTTATGAATTTGTCTTTGTGGGACTCAGTATAGAAATACATATATTAAACTGCGGCAATTGCCGTAGATAAGTTTTCTTATTTGTTTTTACAATTAACACGCGTTAAATGTCAAATTTTCTTATCGCGCTACTCACGCACCGTTTGCCGCTGCCGCTGCCGCTGCCCGCAGCCGATTTGTGCTGCCAGCGTCGCTGTCTGTCCAGTGTTTGTAATGCTGCATTGTTCGCTGTTCCAGCGACTGGGCTGAAACGCAGGGCCAGTGCGGCGCTTGCAGCTTTGAGCAGCTTTACCATTTTGTTTAACTTTCACTGCTTGACCTTGCTCGACCTTGTCCCGAACGCACGTTCTTCCAGCAACAGTGCGTCTACAGCTGCCGCAAGAGCTGTATTACTGAACGGTCGGAGAATTTTTATTTGGCACAGCAGCAGCGGCGGGCAGCTCTAATAAGGCGTTAATTGAAAGCGGGTGGGCGGGTAGTTGAGCAAAACAGCTGATACTGATAAGAGATGAACCAGTTCGTTTGTTCACGAGCCAAACTGCATTAACAGAACCTGTTAACTCATTGCTGCGTTCACAGTTAACGCGTTTTTTTTCCTACTGTACAGTCACTTAAAATATTTATTAGATATTCATGCATTTCCTATTGCGTTTTAAAGTCTAATTGCAATCAACAAAAAATGTCGTTTTGCCTAAAAAAGCGTAACAGCTGTTTTGCCAGGCATTTCTAACAGCACGCTGTTAATAACAGCACTGCATTGGTTAGCTATTAACACTGTTCTTGTACGCTGTTAAAACGCAAAGAGAATTTAAAACTGCAATTTTCAGTTTTCCAAACAATAAAAAACAAAATAATTTCGACTAGAATAAGATTTTGAAAAGCAGACAATGCCAAATGCCCGCCTACTGTGCGGTGGTCAATTGCAGTGATAAATATGTACATGCGGGCAGCATATCCTTCCACAGGTGAGATTTCTACAAGAGTTTTGGCTATGTTAAATTGTTGTTATTCTTGCCGGCAGATTTCCATTTAAGCGCAAGGATCTGCTGCAGAAATGGCGGGACTTTACACAGCGCAACGGCCAGTGGATGCCCTCCAAGTGGAGCGCCGTCTGCAGTCGCCACTTCGTGGACGCCGACTTCAATTGCAGCAACAATCGCAAAACCCTGAAAAAGAATGCGGTGCCCACGGTCCGTGTGCCGGAGGAGAGGCTGAATGTGATTGTGGAACAGGTAACGCTGCCTGCGACGGACAGCGTGCCGGCGACTAGCTGCAGCGGCACGAAGAGCACCTGTCGCTTCTGTGGCATCGCCGCCTTGAATTGTGTGTCCTTTGAGAAGAGTTTCGAGCTGTTTGGCATGATACAGAAATGCTTTCCCACGCTGCAGATACTCCAGGACGACACGCTGCCGCTGCCCAAGGATATATGCGGCGAGTGTTGCCGTCAACTGGAGCGCTTCTCGAAATTCTGTGATGTTGTTATTGTGGCGCAGGGCGAATTGCAGCGCAAATATCGTCGCCAGCTGAAGATCAAACAGGAGCCGGTGGTGCGCGTCAAGCAGGAGGCATGCGAAAGTCTCGATAATCTGTTTCCCGACGAGCTGGACATGGGCTTGGACGAGGGCTGCTGCGATCACGAGCCGGAGGCCAACGATGAAACGGAGCAAAAGTTTCAGTTCTGCAATTTTCCCATGCTGAACGCGCAGGACATCATCAACAATTGTGATATCATGGAGATTATCAATCTCGACGATCCGTTTATAAATATAACCGACGATGCGGATGTGGCCCAGGCACAGCCCGTTACTGTGCCCACGGCGCTGCCCACGCCGCACGAACTGCTGCAGTCGGAGCTGCTCACCGAGGAGCACAACTATGCCAAGGAGGATTGGCAGCTGCCGCCGCTGCAGCAATATAAAACGGAGAAAGTTGAAGGCGCCGACATGCAGGAGCCCAGCGCAACGGAGCCGCGCAGCACCAAGCCAATCGTGACCAATGTCAGCCAGATACCCAATCCCATGATATGCGAACTGATGCCCGCGCCCGCTCCGACCACAACCAAGCCCAATATTGTGGTGCTCAACGACAGCGTGGTGCAGTCGTCCGCCTTTCGACTGCACAACTGCAGCCTGTGCACGACCAAGTTCTTTACCGCCGAGAGCCTCCAGCAGCATTATGCCCATGCGCATGCCACGCCTACGCCCACGCCCACACCAGCACCTGCGCCCATGGTTAGCGTGCCGCCGCCGAATCTGAGTCAGCCCACAACAAACAACACTCTTAAGCTGGAGGGCAGCACGCTGCCGCCGTTGCCCGCCTCGGTGGACTACTGGCAGGCGGACTGGCTGCCGGCGCAGATGCCCGCCAAGAAGAAGATCGACATTCTGGACATGCAGCGCAGCTTTCTGCATTACAACGATCTCATTGCCCAGCCGGCGATCAGTGAGCCGCAATCGCCGAATTCCGCCTACGCCAAGCTGGCCGCGCGCTATCGCCGGCTGCAGCACAAATGCCGCCGGCTGCGGACGAACCTGAAGCCGACTGCGAGTCGGGCCAATCCGCGGCTGCGCTGCGGCCGCTGTGCACGGGGTTTTGCCAGCGTGCAGCAGCTGCTCGGGCATCGGCGACGCAGGCGGCATTTTGTGGTGCCGCCGCCGCGCACATTTGCCGTGAAGTGCTTCGGCTGCCTGCGGCTGTTCTGCACACGGCTCGGGCTGCGGCAGCATATGCGCTACATCTGCCAGTCGCTGCCGCTGCGCAATGCACGGCTGCAGAGCTACAAGTGCCGCCATTGCCAGAGCATCAGCTTCACCCACTGGCGCATCTACAGGCGGCACGAGCTCAAGTGTCGCCTGCGGCCGCCGCCGCCGAGGACGCGCCCGGCCAAGCGACGCCGCACGCCCAACGCCGGCCAGGCACACGGCACAAAGCGTGCCGCCCACGGCTGCAGCGTCTGCCAGAAGACCTTCAGCTCGCTGACCGGGCTCAAGCAGCATCGCATCACGCACAGCTCGGAGCGCAGGTACAAGTGCAGCATCTGCGAGCGCGTCTTTAAGCGGCGCAACGGGCTCTCCCAGCACATCAAGGGCTACCATCTACAGCTCAAGCCGCATCAGTGTCCCGTCTGCCAGCATCGATATGCCCTCAAGTGCGACATGCTGCGCTGCCGCCATTCGCAGCGACGCGGCGCCAAGGTTACGGAAACTGAGCCACCAAAAACATAACGAATTGCGCATACTCTCACGATATTTCTGTAGTAAGTGTATGATATTATTTTATACATATTTTTAGACCCTTGCAGAGGGTATTATTATTTTCTCGTGAGATGTGTAACGCATAGAAGGAGACATCTACGATATAGTATATATATTCTTGATCGATATCAACAGCCGAGTCGATATAGCCATGTCCGTCTGTCCCTCTGTCTGTCTGTTTGTCTCTATGCGAATGAGTCTCTCAGTTTAAGAGCTATCGTCATGAAACTTCCCAAAAGTGCCTCTTTCTGTTGCACGCAGTACATACGTCGGAACCAGCTGGATCGGACCACTATATCATATAGCTGCCATAGGAACGATTGGTCGAAAAGTAGGTTCTTGTATAAAAAACTTTTTTGTTTTTCAAGATATTTTGACCAAACTCGGCGTTCAATAGTTTTACTAAAATCCCATCAACATCGGACCACTATATCATATAGCTGCCATAGGAACGATTAGTCGAAAAGTAGGTTCTTGTATAGAAAACTTTTTTGTTTATCAAGATATTTTGACCAAACTCGGCATTCAGACTACTTTATCATTGCAATTGTAACATATTATTTTATACCTATTTTATAATTTTCTATTTTTTTTTTCTATTCCTATTTTATCTTTTCAGATAAGATCTTATATAAGGTACAAGTTGTCATTCTCATATTGTTATGTACTATACCATATTTTTATTTTTTACCTTATGTTATTTGTTTATATATCGGCTACGATATATTGTTACCTATTATTGTCGGGCTTATTCATAAATTTGGAGAAATATATTTCTAGAAATTGAAATTTCAAAATATTTTCGTTTAAAATACGTATGCGAGCAGAATGTAAAAATTTTAGATAGTTTATTTTGGGATTAAGCCAAGACTCCTAAAATGCGAAGGTCGAAAACAGTTTACAACTAATATTTGCAAAATCGAGCATTAACTTAAAAAACACCAACCGCAAAGTATGTGCGGATATTTGGTTTGGCAAGTACTCGAAATGTTAACATAACATTAACAGTTGCACATTAACAGGGAAAGGACTAACATTATCAGCGTCACATTAACTCATATTAAAATCAAATAATTTCCCAATTGTTTTTCACAACATTTAAAACTCATCTGGTTTTTCACGTATATTTTTATTTGCACTATATACAGTAATTCATATGTATGTTTAGTAATTGCCGTTATATTTGTATATTCATATATTTAAACGTAATTTAATATTGCTTGAACGGCTCGCATATTGCTGTATGAAAATACTGAGATTTTCAACTTAAATATAATGACCCATACAAAAAAAATGCAACATAAATATGTACAAAAAACAGTTGAGTGTAAAGTAAAATAGAAAATCTTTTTATCCTTTTTAACAAATTTTTTAACTTATGCAACATAAAACATGTGATTTAATTTTATTAACAAAAAATTGAAATGAAATTTAAAAAAAAAAATGGCACTAATAATTAAAACAAGTAAAAGCAAATAAAGACAGATATTAAAAAATTAACAAAACTTTCGCGGAATACCAAAAAAACAAAAACAAAAAGGGAAAACGGAAAAGCCTTAAAACTAAACATAAAAAATATATATATTTGATGCTTCACTTAAATAGGCAACTAAAATTTATGCTTTTGGTATGCTCGTTAACTATATGTATAAATGTTATAAATGTTATGTATGTTATGTATGTTATTTATATAGTTAGTTATAATTGAATGAATGGGTATGTTATATGTGATGTGATATCAAAGTCCTGCTCCGCATTTGCCCCTAAATGTGTGCTATGTTGCATTTGTTTAACCTACGCCACAAGGATTACGCGCTAGACTACAAATTATCGAATATCTTGTATAAATATGTATGTATATAAAATGCCGACACAATTTGGCTTTTTACTGAAAGATGGCGGCGCGCTGCTGGAACTGCTGGCGTCTCTGGGCGCGCTCCTCCTCCTCGCGGCGTCGCTCCTCCTGCTCCTGCCGTATCTCGTCGTGGAACTTATTTGTGCGCAGCTGCTGCTCTATTTTCGCCTCGAAGAAGTTCTTGGCACCGCTGACGCCGACCTGCTCCACATCGATCTCGGTGAGGCGGGCCAATTGATTCAGGCCCGAATCGCTGTCCAGCTCGCCGGCCTGCGCCTTGCGATAGATCAACAGGAACTCACGGAACGATATCTTGCCATCGTGATCCTCATCCACGTCGGCTATCATTTTCTTCAGCCCCAAATGGGTCTGCGGTGCGCCCAGCTTCTCCATCATGTACTTCAGCTCGTTCAGGTCCAAAAATCCATCCCTAGCCGTGTCGTAGCTGCAAAAAGACCAAAAACAAAAAAATAAGTTGAAAACAATATTGCAAAAATAAATTGTACGAGGACGTGGTCTGGCCTGGGTCTTTGACCTCTCCCCCACCCTGCCCCTTCTGCCAATCGATAAGACACGAAGGTAACCCAATTTCATGCTAAATTTACGGTGCACAGAGGCTTAAATTTCGCTTGACTTCTCATTTTATGCCAGGCATGACAATGCACTTACAAATTCAGCTAAAAAAGTTGGCAGTGAAAAACTGTGATTTAAGGAAGCGAGAAAGTAAGGTGAGAGTAGCATGACTATAGTTAAATAATAGACAAGATAGTATAACAGGTTAACTTGTCAGTTATTCAAAAGTAATTAGCATATATATTAAATCAACTGTGAAAATGTGTAAAAGTGCCAGACTGAAGATACAGCAGACCAAGGGAAATGCGTTCTTGATTAGCTTCGGTGTTTATTGTCCGATTTTTATGAAATTAACAGGAATTAAGAATGACATAAGCAAGGCTTTACTGTTAAAAATTAGGTGTTTTATCAATTTCGGGGGAAATGTGGAAACCAAAAAGTGAAAACAATTTTAGTATGTATATACATATGTCATACAAATGTGTCTATATACAGAAGAAGGGAATGGCTTTACGATCAAAAATGATATATTTCCAGTTTTGGGGGGAATGGGGAGATCAAGTTGACTATATCTAACTCTTATAGCTTTCCAGTTATGCTTTAAAAACCAAGTCCCTAAATCGATATTTATCGACATTATGGAAATGGTATAATATCGATAAGCAAATGAAGGACTCGTTCTGCATATACTTATATTAGTTTATACATATATTACAAAGTTTAGTCTTTAACTTTTGTAGTTTCCGACGTGGAACATTTTAACATTACGATTTAACTAGCAGTTAATTTGACTGCGCTCGCTCTAGCCTTAAATTAATCAAGCTTCATTTGAAGCGAGTGTCATTGGCTTAAAGTCTAAAAGTTCGAATGCTCGTTGGCCACTTCCTCGACTCAGTGTGAGGGGGTGTGGGAGGGGGGTCAGGAAATTGTGTGATAAAAATGTAAATAGAAAACTTACTGGGTAATTACGTAATGCTATATAAAAGCAGCGTGTGGCATGGAGAGAAAACGCAACATTAGCCAATGTTAATGCCGTTGTTGTTGCCGTTGTTGTTGTTATGATGGCCAAATCGCGTGCGGGGCAGATGCGCTTGCAACAACAACAACAACAACGGCAACAATGTGGCGGAAGGCCTCGACCTTGCCTTGTCGCTGAAGGATGCTGCGGCCAACTGGAAACAAGTAAAACAAGTTGGTCTAAAAATACGACAAGCTGCCATCAAAGCCGCGAGCAAGGCGAGTTTTCGAGGCAAGGCAAGGAAACACTCAACTTGCAACAAGTTGCGTCGTTTGTTGTCAACAGCCAAATTGTTCATAAATAATAACGCAATCGATTACATTCGAGCATAACTTTCAATTTTCAATTCCAATTTCGATTTCGTTTTCATTAGAAAACTGAGAGCTCATCTAATGAGCATAGAAAACTTCAGAAGACTTGGACGTGTTTTCTGTTATTTTTTGTCGCTTTCGTTGTTAATTTGATCGACAATTGTGGGGCGACAAATTGCGTGAGGCTTGTGTAAACACGACGAGAGTGAAAGTAATTAACGGTGACAGAAGCACATAATTGGAGATGTGCGCGTGTCGTGACACGAACAAGCACGACTCACCAGGAAGGGAGTAAATAATGCAAAGCTCACATTTCGTTAAGTTTTTGTTTTTCATGACTGCAAAAACTAAAAAGAATTGTCGTGCTTCCAAAACTTGCGACGTGTTCGTGCAGCCGATATTCGCCCATCTCTATCTCTATATGCGAATAACAGACACGAAGGTGTCACTAAGCAAATATTACAAAGCTAACGTCTCGTTAAGTTTTTGCCCTTCCATGTTAAAAGATCACGACAAAGACTTGTCGCCTGTCGTGCTGCCGATACTTGCGACGTGTTCGTGCAGCCGATATACTGCCCATCTCTATATCAAATAACAGACACGAAGGTGTCACTGAGCAAATATTACAAAGCTCACATCTGGTTAAGTTTTTGCTCTTCCATGTTGAAAGATCACGACAAAGACTTGTCGCCTTTCGTGCTGCCGATACTTGCGACGTGTTCGTGCAGCCGATACTCGCCCATCTCTATATCGAATAACAGACACGAAGGTGTCACCATGCAATTTAACAGCATAACAATTATTTGTTGCTATTTCGCTTGCTCGCATTTAATTAACTTCAATTGCCATGAGCTTCTCTCCGTGTCTGCGTCTCCCACTGTTGCGTCAATGTGACAATTGGCAGACTTTTGCTTTTTATTATGTTTTTGTGGTTTTCTTTTCAATTAATTGTCTCGCTTAGCACATGCTCATTAAACGTGAAGTTACGTTTGGCTGTTTTTTCATGTAAGCGCAATTAGTTGCGATTGCATTTCCAGCTGTCCAAATCAATTAATATTGAATCATGCGTTTAGTCAATTTTAGTTAAACCACCTGCCAGGCAGGTAAGCTATCTCTTAGCTAGAGTTAGCCTTTTTCTTAGTGCAAATTTGTAATTTGTATACACAATTTAGCTAATTTTGGCTTTTTCAGCCGTTAAGGCTCTATATGTGAATTCTAAAGAATTTTTAAAGGGTTTTCCGAAAGCATAAAAACATCTATTTCCGTGACCTATGTCAATATATAAATTGTATGTAAATTTTGGCTCTCTGTTAAACTTCCTAGTTTTTTTTTGACAAAGACATCAAGTTAAACTTGGCATTTGTTGATTAATATAAAATAATTATTTCCGCATAAAACTTCTCGCTTTAATTTTAAATATTTGGCTATAGCTATGTATTTTAGCCTATAGAATTCTGGCAGCACTTGCGCTCTCGCTCTAACTCTAGCACTCCTGGGCGCTGCGTTCTCCCCCGCGGCTCAGGTGGCAACGCCGCCCGCCCACCCTCGCCGCCCACGCAGTCCTAACCCTTTGCCTGTTATCGATTACAAAATGTTTTCATTTCAATGATTTCATAAGCGCTGCCATTTCGGCCCAAATCTAGATGGATGCTTCATTGCATTTTGTTAGGCATGCGATTTTGGTCTTATTTTAGATATACATATACATGCAGACACACATGTAGGCAGGTATTTGTGTGTGTGTACATGCATGTAGGTTTGTACAGTTCAACAAATAACGGGGTCAGCTGGCCATTGTTGTTGCATGCCGCATTTGCATCGTAAATCGCAAAATGCATGTATTTTTTGAGTGTATGTGTGCATTTTGCCAGTTGGGCACCTCCCCGCATGTATGTATATGTGTGTGTATGTATGTATGTATGTAGTAGTAGCTGCAATTATTGAACGTGTAGTCGCGGCTTTTCTCTATTAGCAACTTAATGCGACGGCAATTGTTGCTGTTTCTGTTGCCCATTGTGAATTTATGTTTCGTTTTTCTTGGTTTTTGGTCTCTGGGCTATGCTCGGTGGCCCAAGCGGGTTAATGCCAACGCTCTGCAGTCACAACGCCTCATGTTCTTGAACCTTTTTTAATGCATACTCTTGCGAAGGGTATCATGATTTTGCCACGAAATATGTATGTTATGCGTAAAGAAGGCATTTGTTGAGTCGACATACATAGACATGTTCATTAGTCTTTATATAGTTTCCATAGGATGGCTCGAAAAGTGAGTTTTTGTATAAAACCTAATCAAACTCAACAAAGACAAGCTTTATTATGACTAAAAACATATGGGAAAATCATATCATTAATGAATTCGCTTTTTCTTAAAGCTTTTATAAGTATTTTCATAATATCAAATCTTAAGGCAACTATGATTAACGTCAGCAAGGGTATTTAATATTCGGCAGCGCACAGATAAAATCGTCTCCCTTGCTAGTTATTATTTTTTGTCGACTGTAATTTTGTAACGGTTATTATTGTGTGTAACGTTTAAAATGCACTGCGCTGTGTTGAGTTTGGTGGATTTCTTCATGTGATTGCGCACAGCTGCGCGGAGGTCTTTTATCTATTGTAAAGTCAACTACGGCGAAGAGCAATGAAATAAAAATAATGTACACAGTTGACGTCTTGCATACACAATATCTTGTTTATTTCGCTCAGCACGAACAAACTAACTGACTGACTGATTGGCTGACTGACTGAATGACGGACTGACTGACGGACTGCCTGCCTGCCTGACTGTTTCCATTTCGAAATCCCGCATGCACCTGTGCACCTAAAATACTTTGTCTGGGCCATTTATATTTAAGACACATGTAAACTTTTGCTGAGAAGTGCGTGTGCATATAGAATCAATAAAAATCAACAGCATTTTAACTGCAGCGTAAAGTTGGCCAGAATACAGAACACGGCAGTACAGTAAAAGCTCGTTAAGGCGGACACTTACAGTTCCATTTAATTGCCTAATTGAGGGAAATGTTCGAAAAGGCAGGAAAACAGATTGGCACCAAGGTGATGTCCGTCCGGAAAAGCTGTCCGTTAGTGAAGCTTTTACTGTAGTCAGTAGCACAACCCGTCCACATGTCGAAGACTATTCGTATACCAAAAACCAAGAATCATATTTTGACATTTCGAAATTGGAGCAAGGCAGACCAAAAACAAAGCGTTGCGTGGGTCGCGTGTGCGTATTTTTAGTTGCAGCAGGAAACAACAACAACAACAACAACAGCAACAACAACAAAAGAGCTCTCTATGAGTCAGTGCTTGCAACTAACTGAAGAGCAATGCATGAACTGAGGCAGCGCAGATAAAGAATTGCTCAATGAGTTCAAACTAGAGATGGACTGGTGTTGAATTTCTCAAACACGAACACGAAACACAAGTTGCAAGCACGCACGATTAAATTATCAACAAGGCAAATATATGAACTTGCTTTCAATTAAAATATATTTTTCGCTATTTCAAAATATTTTGAGAATAACTTATCATTTTTTTAAAGCT